GGGTGCTAATACATTCCTCTTGTGTAATCGACTCCCTTACGCGTATCTCTCGGTCGTATGATCGTGATTTCACCCTTCTCAGGTTTACTCGATGTTTACCTTTCCCTTTTTGTGGGGTAAAACGTTTGATGGTGACTTTATTGATTTTATCTCGAGCATTTGTTCCGTCGGTTGTTTCACCCCGCCCTAAAAACCCTAATTCCTTGTTTTTCTATTTTATTTGATTTTTTTTCCGTTTTCATATTTTTGAACAAATTCAAAAAAAAAATTGAAGACACTTAATTTTATTTGATTTTCAGTTGTATTTTTAATTTTTTATAATAGAGTGAAATTCAAAAATGCATATCTGAAACCACTCTTTTCGTAAAAAAAAAAAGTTTATCCGGAGATTCATATCCGAAAATACCTTTTTTCATAATTTTTTGTGGAATAAGGGTTCGCGCGGAGATGCACATCCGAAGTCCGAGGTATTTTGGGTTTTTCGTCAGGGGCCTCCAAGAAAACATAGAGGTGGAGAAAGAAATTATCTCTTTGTAATGCCCATATCTCCCACAACCAAGGCAGAGAAGGTGCGAACCTTCATATTCTACCTTATAGTTTAGATCATTAATGTTTATCATGGCCAGAAGAAGTTTGGTTAAGTTAACCACAACACAAAGTTTGGCATACTCCCCTTGTTCCTGTTGCATCGTATTCTTGACAACTTTGATCGCACGACCAATCTAATTTCCTACTACAATTAACACTCTCGCATTATAGTACTCAATAGGCAAACCTGAAATGCGCACCAAGACAACAACTTCATCAATAGTATCACTTTCCGACTAAAATTTCAGAATCCAATCTTTCACTGTGAGATAATGGTTATAGATGAACCATGGATCATTGGCTCGGGCATCCTGCTTATCATCTTCATGGGTAAAGGCTACTAAATAATAGTCATTACTTAGATCTATTATGCTAATAACTTATTTCCTTACCCACATCTAAGTCAATCTATTCTCCAGAGCTTTGTATCAAATTCTTCTTCCCAATAGTTTCACGATGACCCATCTTTTCCAAGGTCGTTGTATTCTCTTCTCTTCTGCCTCTGACAAAACAAACACATGACATTCATACCCCCTACTTTCTCCTCCACGATCTGAATCCCATTAGTCACATCTGCAAGCATACTTTCCTCCTCTTCCTCCTCCTCATCAGTTGACTTGTCATCCATCACTTCAACACTCCGCCCCGTGACAATTTTCTTATAGGAAAACACTGCTTTGTTAGGAGGCGAAATTGCACCTATTGTATTGTCTTTGATCTTCTTCGTGCTTCTTTCTTGCAGATCCACTTCATCCACATTTTTACCCAGACGGACCAGAGTAATTATGACCACCGGAGCAACCATATGATTCAAAGAGTTCGCTAGAAGTCACTTTTCTCAGTGTATAGAGACAAAGCTTACTTAAAAAAATCTTTCTCTTAATATTTTTAAAACAAACTAGTCGATAACCCGTGCTATCGCACGGGGCCGGTCGAGAATTCATAAAACGTGGAACTAATGTTGTCATGTAACAGTAAATTCGTTTTTATGTAATTCAATAAAAGTTCATCTAATTCGGCCAAATTTAGTGTATTAAACTTATTTGACAACATTAAAAAATGTAAACTGAAATCATGATTGTGTAACAAAATAAGAAACTGTGATGACTCTTCAAAATAAGAAACTATCACGAGTCTTCAGATACAACGCAACCAGCTTGGAAACGATGTTTTCAACTTTTTGACCCGCACAATAAATTATGCAAAAATTAGACAGCATTTACGGAAACAATTTATATTAAAGAAAATATTTGTTATTATGTACTTACCGATCAACAAAGAGATTGGAAAACTTCTTTGTATACAACATTTGTAGTGATAGATGTTGATACATTCATACTATCATGTATTAAGATCTTCAGACCACTTTTGCTTGTAACTCTTGAAATGGCTACATACAACTGGCCGTGACTGAATACAGGAGTAGGCAAATACAATCCAACTGTATCAAGTGATTGGCCTTGAGACTTATTAATTGTCATTGCGTACGACACAATAATTGGGAACTGTCTCCTAATCAACTTAAATGGCCACGGTGACTCGGAAGGTGACATAGACATTCGAGGGATGTAAAAGATGTTACCAACATTCTTACCAGACATGATCTTTGCCTCAATAACGTGATTTGCCAACCTTGTAACAATTAGTCTAGTTCCGTTACACAAACCATCGTTTTGGTCCAAATTCCTCATAAGCATTATTGGTGTACCAACCTTTAATCTGAGTTTGTGATTTGGGACACCTGAAGTCCTAAGCTTGCTAAGAAATTCTGGAGTAAGACATTCATAGGCTTCGGTGTAACTTGAATCAGTTCTATCAATCGAATCAAAACTCAAATACTCTTTGTCCTCACCTAAGAAATGGGAAAACGCGAATCAATCCATAATGTTTTTTCAAGAATAATTTAATAACGAAACATCTACACGAAAATAAACATCAAAAGAAAAAATAGTTTACCCGGTATCATGTATAACACGTAATGATTAATTTTATCAACAACTTCAATGGTTGAAGCAAGTATTGTTTTTCCTTGTAGAAATTCTACATTTTGAAAGTCGGCAAGCAAATTTGGGTATGTGCTTTCAACTATAGCTCTTATTGGATCCTCAAAATTGGAAATTAACAAATCCGGAGGAATTTCTATATCAGCTAATCCATCGTTAGGTTCACATATTTTACCGTCGCCAACATTTAATATCCATTTAGAGAATTCTGCAAGTTCATCAGAAGTTGTACCGTCCCTCCCATTCTTTAGTCTCATGTTTTTGGTTAGTGTTAAGACTTGGCAATAGTCCCACACATAAGAAGAACAAATGGAAGCATGAACAATATCAGAACGGCCTGCTCTTGGAACAACTGGAAGTATCTGTCGAAAATCTCCTCCAAATATAACTACCTTGCCACCAAAAATTGTATTTGCAAAACCCTTATCGCTCATGACATCCTTAAGGGTCTTATCCAAGGCCTCAAAACAATTCTTATGAGCCATGGGTGCTTCGTCCCATATTATGACATCAGTAGCTTCGAATAACTGTGAATGCTCAGAGTCTTTGTCAACATTGCAAGTAGAGTTGTCAAGCGTTGGAATGGGAATTTTGAACTTCGAATGGGCTGTTCTACCACCTGGCAAAAATAAGGAAGCTATGCCACTTGAAGCAACATCCAGAACAATTTTTTTATCTGAACGAAGTGCACTTGATAATGTCCTCCACATAAACGTTTTACCGGTTCTGCCGTATCCATGTAAAAAAAACACCCCTCCGTTTTGTTTCTTGACGATGTCCATTATGGTTTCAAAGATTGCACGTTGCTCATCTTGACGTTCAAATGAAAAGAATCAATACAACAGTAGTTTAATGAAAACATCGATGATTTGAATAATGAGGAAATACCTGTTAGAATTCACACAAGCTTCCTCTATTTGATTGCATCATATTCTCAATCTCAATTAATGTGAGGTTTGTCAGTTCTGCAGTTGACAATTGCATGTCTTCCAACACAAATACAAACCAAAATAAAATATAACTATTATGTACAATAGAAATCACAGTGTTGATGAAGATAGACATGCAAAAGGATCGTTAACCTTAAAATGGCAGTATCATGGAAAGTTCAGTATAATGCAAGAGCATCAGACATTCGGGTTCATTAAAAATGTTATGTTTTTGATCAGTAGCTGTGACAAAAGGTGGTTGAAGGTAAAAGATAAATCACATAAGGTTTGGAAGCAATCAGAGGATAAGCGGGACAGAGCAGAAGAATGGAGAAAGTTGCATGTAGAGGCTAAGAGGAGGAAAGAGGAAGCTGAAAGTTCTTCAAGGTAAAACAGTATTCTGGGCTACGACTCTATTTGATGCCCATTTGTCTTTGTTATTAGTTTTGTTATTTGATATTGTTGGGCTACGGCTCAATGTACAATCTGCTTATGATTTGTTAAATGGGATGATACGAAATTAGTTCCATATCTTGCGTTGATGAGATAATTGCATATCGTTTCCGGTATTATCCGGTAACAATTTATATTAATCAAGTGTCATGGATTTCTGCTATGCATAATCTGTTATTCATGTATTAGTTTTTTAGATTAATGTACAATATGCTGATATACTACCGTGTATTATGCATAAAGTATGCAAAACAATATGGATTGTTCAGCATCAAGACATAAAGAGAAACATTTTTTTCCTTTCAAAGACACTAAGTTAACAACTCAACAGATTAGATGACAGTGTAATTTAAAGCGCCACTAAATACAACATTAAAGTTATATCAAAGTTCAATTCATAACAAATATACATCCGTCATCAAAAAGAATTTTGAAATGGAAAATTGTGGGATTATATTTTAATGGTTTAGAATTACGAAGAAAAAATATGTAACAATTGTGTAAGGTAAAACAAATCATTAGGTGTGATAATGTTTTTCAAAGTTTTCCAAACATGTAAATGAAAAAAGAAAAGGATGTGGTGATAAGGTAACTCCAAATACTCCGTCATTAGGTGAGATAATGTTTTTCAAAGGTTTCCAAATATGTAAATGAAAAAAGAAAAGGATGTTGTGTGGGGTAACCAAAAACACTCCGTTGCATACACAGTTGGCCACTGATTTTCCAAAAGAAAACAGAATAAATTTATTATATTAAACAAAATAAGGAATTACCAACATCATATTGCTTTTTGCAGTGTAAATTATACATAGTTTTTTGCAGCTTAAATGACTAAAATCATATCATTCTTTCATATACAATGTCAAAAGGATCAAACAAAAAGCAAGAATGACAAATCAAATCCTCATAAACCAGAATAAACAAAATGTAAACCAGAAATATTTCATTACATCAATCAAAATAAGGTGTGCAATGTTGTCCAAAACAACTTAAAGTAAAAATAAATCGTCGACGATAATTGACTGCATCATTTCTCCAGCTTGATGTCCCTTATTATCTTGGTGGACGATAGTTGGGCACTGTCGAGTTCTTCAACTGTCTCAGGAATAGATCTTTTTGACGGTGTAAGTGAAGAGTTGGCAACTGAAGGGTCATAATCTGCAGTGATTGATAACGGATCCTGCCATTAAAGAGTCATTACAAAATCAGTAGCATAAAAAAGGAAGTAAGACATTGTTTAATAGGCTAATTTGTTAATGTTGAAAGCTAAAAAAAGACGCACTGAAACTGTTTGTGGATCATCATGAGACTGTTTTTCCGAGGTGGTGATGGTCGGAGTACACTGCAAGTTAAAAAACGCAAGAAATAAACGTTAGACAATTGTTCAAAATTTGATGGCAAGAGTACACAAGTACACATTGGGGAAGGATTGAAGGAAGAGTGAAAAACTTTTGGTGTTCCATTTGAATTTGAATTCTGATTAAGAGAGGCATAATGGTTTGGCATGGGGAAGAGGAAGAGAGGCACAATGAATGGCAAGGAATAATGAATTGGTATTCCCCATGGTTGGGTTTCTCACGCTGCCTGCACAATAAATTGAATTGGTTCTTTATTTTAAAAAACAGTATAATATGTGGGATTTATTTGAAAAAAAAATTTGAAAATGTGGTGAAAAATTGTGGGAGTGCCACATCAGATTCAAATCAATGTGGTGCAAGATATTTTGGAGTTTCCAATTTTACCCCAATACAATAGACCAACAATGGATTTTTTCAGCTGTGGTGTTGTGGTAATTTCCAGGGACTATCATTTTTATAGATTTATAATATATATATATATATATATATATATATATATATATATATATATATATATATATATATATATATATATATATATATATATATATATATATATATATATATATATATATATATATATATATATATATATATATATATATATATACAAAAATAACATAACAATTTGTTTGGACTTTACTGAAATGATATAACAACAAATAAGGTGGTGTAGCAGATAAAACAATTCTCAACAATAAAAATGACCAATCTTTATACCTCTTTTTGGACTACCTCTTTCTTTGTGGACAACCTCTTTCTTCTCAAACGGGTTCCTTCTTTTTTCTTCCTGTGCCAGTATCCCTCTTTTTGGACTATTGACAGCATAGTTTGACACTGAATCGAAAAGATGGAAAATTTGATAGTTATTGTTGAAATGATTCAATAGTCCAACGAACACAAATTGCACTTTATAGATACAATCTACTAATTGCTATCCAAGGGTTAAGGGAAATTAAATATATCATGAAAACCATATATATGGAATTTTAAACTGCACAAATAAAAGGAAATAAGAAAAATTCACCAAAAATTGAAATGCACACAGAATCAAACACGCACCGGAAAACTTCATAAAACAAAGAATGATCAATACAAGCATCAATAAATTGTTACAAAAGTTATTGAAACAAAGTTATTAAAAAACTTACAAATAAGAACAATTCCCAACACGTCTGAAACTTTTCCTTTGATTTGCACCAAACCTGCCATCCATTATACGTCCTCGAAATTGTTAGAACTGTTGCAGTGAATTGGCACTATCTTTACACCAGTTTTCCACCTTAAATCTTTATCAAACCTACAAAAGTACAATAAAAAGATAAGTATACAAATTATTCATCATATATACTTATTCCATGAAGGTTAAGAGTTCATTAGCAGCAGCTGCTCCAGGAGTAATGACTATTATTTGTGGCTCGAATTTGGGTCTACCACCTCTTACTTATTCCATGAAGGCTGCCATTGCAGTTTCTGATAGATATAAGTCGATGATAGTCTTGAAATAATGCATTCTCTCTAAAACCATTATAATCCTCTGGGTACTTTTCTACCAAATCAATCCTCTGGGTACTTTTCTACCAAATCAAATGAAACCTGAACACAGCACGTTAAAATATATTAGTATTTCATCAGAAGCTAGAACTATAAACATTAATTTGAATAGAATGATATATGAATATAGACTTACTTGGTTAGGATACTTGCAAGAAAACGCTCGCGGTACGAAGTCTCTGTGCAATTGCAATTGCTGCCTGCAGAGAGATGTCATAACAAATGGATAAAAAACAGATTTCGACATAGACATTATATTATATTTCACGCAAATTCACCTGTAAACCAAACATTTTACAATCAGCTTCCATTTCATGTTACTTACCTGCTGCAACAAAAGTCTCAGCTGTTTAGAACACTATCCCATAACAGCAATTGACAGATTGTTGAAATGCCATTAGTCCACACCATTTTGGTTCAGTAGAATGTTGCAAATATATTTTAAAATCTAAGAAATGGATTTTGGAGTGTCCTGTATCACACCAGCACAAAACACCTGAGGCATCAGCAGCTGGCATCATCTGCTCATAGTTATGTGAAGCTGTAGTTGCTGTCAAATTTTTCTCTAACTGGGATAAAGCTGCATGAAATGTGAAATCAACCCTTAAGTTATCATTACAAAAAATAAATTTACCTTCAAATAACCTACCATCTTCACAGAAGCCAGATACTGGGATAAGCTGCATGAAATGTGAAATCAACCCTTAAGTTATCATTACAAAAGATAAAATTTAAAGGAAAGCTTTAGCAGTTCAGTACCATTTCGAAACAAAACCAATGACCAGAATTTGTTCAAGAGCAGAAACTCCGTGAGTTGAAGCGAAGAAACATTAACAGTATTTGACAGATGCACTAATTCAGCCACATTATCGCGCCGTAGCCGAACTCAAGTCATCGGTAAACATTAACCTGAAATACACAAATTAAGTCAACATTTACATCAAAGTTTCACTCATTCCAATACACATATTCAAAGTTTCAGTAATGAAGAACTCACAGGATGTCGAAAAACACAAGTCGGATTAAGACAATTCACCGATAACCAGTACCAGCAATCCCTCGGGTTAAGCCTCACAATCTCATTGTGCCTATAATCACACTCTACACCCTGTAACCAAAACAAAAACAACAACAAAAAATTGCAGTTAATAATTAATACAACAATGTTCTAGCCTGTAATATCCCTACTAACCACTTGCTCTCCAATACCACCCGCTACTTTCCCTTCAAATAGGGCAATATGGTTTAAACCAACATCCCTTCGTTTTCCAACCTAAAGAAGGTAAGAGCAATTAGTAAATGGAAAGGTTACATGAAGCTGAAACCAGAAAGTATCTGCAGTGTACATTTCCAAGCCGCAATGTAGAGTTGAAGCCTGCACACACAGTATATTTATTTCTCAATTTCACCAGATTAATCATATAGAACAAAAGCATATAGATGGATATATTAAAAAGAGACCATTAAAAATTCGAAATTTTGATGCTTTTTGATACCTGCTATTGCTTTTTGATATCTCCACAACATCGACGCCAACGTCCCAATCTCTGTTGGAATAAATCCGGAATAATCTTCAACTTCACAATCTAGTAAAACACATTTTCACAATTCTAGAAAATCAAGCAATTCAGTTCCCAAAACTAATCCAAATTCGAGAAAATTCGAGAGACCAAAACTAATCCATCGTCACGCAGCGATTCGTAACAGCGCAGAGAGCCTTGCGTGAATGAAAACGAAAGGGACGTCTGTAGCAATGGCTTGCGTGAATGAAAACGACTGGAAGGTGTTAAGCAATGGAGGTTATACATAAGTACACGTTGGGGAAGGATTGAAGGAAGAGTGAAAAACTTTTGGTGTTCCATTTGAATTTGAATTCTGATTAAGAGAGGCATAATGGTTTGGCATGGGGAAGAGGAAGAGAGGCACAATGAATGGCAAGGAATAATGAATTGGCATGGGGAAGAGGAAGAGAGGCATGGATTTATTTGGAGAAAAAAAATTGAAAATGTGGTGAAAAATTGTGGGAGTGCCACATCAGATTCAAATCAATGTGGTGCAAGATATTTTGGAGTTTCCTATTTTACCCCAATACAATAGACCAACAATGGATTTTTTCAGCTGTGGTGTTATGGTAATTTCCAGGGACTATGATTTTTATAGATAGATAATAGATTCACCAACTAGAATCAATTTTAATTATCTAGCCATTATTATCAAGTCATTAAAATTAATTTTTTTATTCTAATAATCAATGCCACTTATGCAAATTTGAAAGGAGATTATCTAAATCTCAACTTATGTACATTGATTTTTAAAATGAAAGATTAAAAATTAAAAAATATTAAAGTAGGGGACAACAAATATACTTAAACTATAAAAAATTAAACGTATAGATATAGCTTAACAACTTTGATCGAAATTATAACTGTAGCGATTTTTGATTTTGAGTGAATTTTGATATAGTCTCACTTTTTTATGTATCTTCTGTTTCTTTCTCAATATATTATCTTTATAAAAAATAATAATAAAATCCACAAGAATTAAAAATTACACCATATCTTTTCATTACTATAGCATATCAATTAATCAATTTATTTACCATTCTTGTAGTTTATGCATCATTAATGATATAAATATTAAATTAAATATTTAGTAACATTAAAAAGAGGAAAAAATCAATAAATAATTAAAAGGTGTAGAAAATCTGACCTAACAGCTTTGACCAAAATTGTAGTGATAGTTATTTATGGATTCCCTAACTTTTTTTTAGATTTGTTTTGAATGGGTTTTGCTATACTTCCTCACTTGTGTTTTATTTCTTTTTTAATATATCATTTTTATTAAAAAAAATAAAGAATTAAATATATTTTTAATCTATATAAATATCTTAAATTTTATTTTTAGTTTTTATATGTACAGTTATAGTTCTAATTATTTTCTAAAATTTTAAAAATTGTTTAATTATTCTTGAATTTTTAAATTTTTATAATTTTTTTATCATACATATTTAAAATATTATATTGTTTTTTTTATCAAAATTTATAAATTTATAAAATGAAAAGAATTAAATATAAATTTTTAAAATTTCAAAAGATAATAATAAAAGTAATGAAAATTTCGATTTAAAAATCAAATTTTAAAAACACTTTTTATAACATTTTAAACTATAAAATAATCATTCAAAAATATATATTAATTTAATAATAGAACTAAAAATATGCGCATAATAATTTTAGGAAATAAAACATAACATTTATTTTTATAAAAATCAAAACAAAAAATTTGATGATTTTATAAGTACCAAAACTATTTAATTAATTAAATCTATTATTTTACCTGTAGGTTATATATCATTAATAATATAAACCTTAAATTAAAAGGTGCATAAATATAACTTTAACCCTTTGACCGAATTTGTAGCTGGATCAATTTTGGATTCCTCTAAGCCACGTTATAAAAACATTGGTGCTTTTTGAGTGTAAACTTCTATCAATTGGTTTCAATTTCATAAATCGAAATTAAGCATTACCAATTATATTTAAGCTATAAAAAATTAAAAAGTATAGATATACTATCTTAACCACTTTTATCGAAATTATAACTGTAGCAATTTTTGATTTTGAGTGAATTTTGATATAGTCTCACTTTTTTATGTATCTTCTTTTTCTTTCTCAATATATTATCTTTATTAAAAATAATAATAAAATCCACAAAAATTAAAAATTACACCATATCTTTTCATTACTATAGCATATCAGTTAATCAATTTATTTACCATTCATGTAGTTTATGTATCATTAATGATATAAATATTAAATTAAATATTTAGCAACATTAAGAAGAGGAGAAAATCAATAAATAATTAAAAGGTTAGAAAATCTGATCTAACACCTTTGACCGAAATTGTAGGCATAACTATTTACAGACTCCCTAATTTTTTGTAGATTTGTTTTGAATGGGTTTTGCTATACTTCCTCACTTGTGTATCTTTTATTTCTTTTTTAATATATTATTTTTATTAAAAAAATAAAGAATTAAATATATTTTTAATCTTCATAAATATTTTAAATTTTATTTTTAGTTTTATACATGCAGTTTTAGTTTTAATTATTTATAAAAAAATTTAAAATTGTTTAATTATTCTTGAATTTTTAAAATTTTAAATAATTTTTATCATATATGTTGAAAATGTTATATTGTTTTTTATCAAAATTTATAAACTTTTAAAATGAAAAAAATTAAATATAAATTTTTAAAATTTCAAAAGATAATAATAAAAGTAATGAAAATTTCAATTTAAAAATTAAATTTTAAAAAAAATTCAAAAAACTTTTTATAATATTTTAAACTGCAAAATAATCCTTTAAAAATATATATTAATTTAATAATAGAACTAAAAATATGTGCATAATAATTTTAGAGAATAAAACATAACTTTTTTTTTATAGAAATTAAAAATAAAATTTGATGATTTTATAAGTACCAAAACGTATTTAATTAATTAAATCTATTATTTTACATGTAGTTTATATATCATTAATAATATAAATCTTAAATTAAAAGGTGCATAAATATGGCTTTAACCCTTTGACCGAGTTTGTAGCTGGACCGATTTTGGATTCCCTTAAGCCACGTTATAAAAAACATTGGTACTTTTAGAGTGTAAACTTCTACCAATTGGTTTCAATTTCATAAATCGAAATTAAGCATTACCAATTACTAAATCAATGGTGCGTTATACTCGTGAACCTCCATCTAATCACGATATTTCTAATCAAGATTTAAACCGTTATGGATATTTTGTCGATCAACTCCAAACCCAAATTAATCAGTTTTTTTTTCTTTTTTATAATTTGTTATTTTATGATCATTATTTTGTATATTTTTCACGTTTTATGGTCATCAATCAAATTCTCTAGGGCATAATCGATTGAATATTGAAATAGAAATATTGTACAAAATATGTTTAAATGTTATTAGAGTTTTAAATAACAGTTGTGATCGCTTAAAGACTTTTGCAATTTAGATGTATTGTGACATTGATTATATGAATTAATCACTATTTGTCCCGACCTTTTTCGTGGTAGCGGATTGTTTTTTAAAACCCTAAATAATATTGCTCAATTCTATGTTGAATTTATTGATTTTAAAGACTTTAAAGGTTTATGATCACCATAAACCCTAGGTAAAATTGAGATTCTCATATCAAGAATAAACCCTAGACAGTTCTCTGGTTTTTATTTGTTAATATATTATTTATCAATTTGTTAAGCATAAACTTGCTGCTATGCATGGTTGTGTTTGTGAGTTCGAATTTTGATCGTTATTTGTGTAGCTTGAGAGCAAAGTAATAGAGGTTGAACAGTTTTACCAATCTACTGATGTTCAAAACAATGATTGCAAAACCAAAGGCCGGAAGAATCCTCTTACTGGATCTAAGAAGCCACTACAACATGCTTCCGAAGAAATCACGTGTCATGTTTCCAAAATTATAACTGAGGCAAGTGATGTTAAATAAAAACGTTATAGCATAGCGGAATTTGAACAAATCGCTATTCTTGCACAAAATACTATTTACTACTACAAAGTACTATCAAAGAATAGCTATAGCGGCATTATAGCATTGCTATGCAGCAAAATTTGAACAAAACTTTATTTTCATGATTCATTTTCTTTTTCTCAGATAACTCGGCATGAATATGCATGGCCCTTTTTGGAACCTGTAGATGTTAAAGGTCTTAAGCTCTATGATTATTATGAGGTATTTTTCTTCATTTTAAAGCTTTTCTATTAACTTATACCATCACTATATTCATTACATAAATGGTTTAGATATTTGTCTCGTCAATGTTTATGGCTTTGTAGCACCGACACCTCTGAAAAAATATGTGTGCCCGTGTTAGTGTCAACGTCCGAAATTGACACTGACACTTGTAGTACTAGTACTAGTGGTGGCCTTATCGAGCTCTTATTTATCCATTTTATCATAGCTCTCTGCTAACTCTTCTTTCAAAACCAATTTGTTTGTTTTTCTTTCCCTACATCATTGAACAGCCTATGGATTTTAGCATAATAAAAAGAAAAATGAATGCTAAAGATGGCTCTGGTTATAAAAATGTGAGGGAGATATATGCTGATGTAAGGCTGATTTTTAACAATGCAATGACGTACAACGATGAAACCCATGATGTCCATCAGATGGCCGAGATCTTGCTGGATGAATTTGAGAAGAAATGGTCGCATCTTTTGCCTAAACTCACTAAATTGGTAATTTTGATTTTTTTTCCCAGATGAATGAAACTTGCTTTGTATTTAGATACATTATCCTTTTATATTTGATTATTTCAGGAGGCTGAATTATCAAAGGAAACACATGAGAATTTGAACAAAAAGCTTGCTCAAGAAGCCACTTATGCTAACATGACTATGAAATTAAGCGACGAGGTTGGTTCATTGTTTTTTTACAGAGTTGTGTTTAAGCTTTAAAATCAACTGATGTACTTCAGATGACTAATTTGTACATTTAATTTCTGGTGTTCCAGTTGTCTAAGGCTGATATGGCTTTGAAGAATCTCAAATCACTAATGATTGCAAAGTGCAGGTTTGTGAAAGAGTCACCCGATATTCTTTTTTGTGGTCTAAGTCGAACTTAGTAAAATAGTGCTACACATCATCTGTTAGTTTAGTGTTTAATCACGCAATGAAATTGTCCTTTTCTAGAACTCCTTTAAGATATGAGTTTGGCGAATTTAGATTTCTTCCATTCACACAATCACAGTTCACAACATTGCCACTGATCATACAATTTGACTTTGTATGTGGAAACGATGATTGGCCTGATGGTCTTATTTGTATGACTGCATCAGATCTATGATTCTCTTACTGCAAGAAATCTGAATTAGAGTTTTATAGAAACCAGTTGCCATTTAGTTTTTTCTCTCTTAAACACGTAACTGATAATTCGTTATTGATTTTATTTTGTATTGTTTGGTTGTTGACAATACTATAGGAAACTGTCATCTCTGGAGAAATCGTTACTTGCTGCGGATATCACTAAATTGTCTCCTGATAACCTCCACAAGGCATTAGAGATAGTTAATGAGAATAATCCAAATTTCCAATTTAGTAGGGAAGACGTGACCCTTGATCTCGACTCTCAGGTTTGTCATGTTGTTTTCTTTAGAAAATATTATTGAACTACTCACTAATTTTAGTATCATTATGATATATATATATATATATATATATAAACTACACATTATGGAGATTGTATATGTTTGTGAAAAACGCACTAGAACTTCAAGATGCATCAAGCGGGATTATGCACGTAGACAATATTGAGGAAAAAGAAGTGATTGCCAACATTGAGGAAGAGAAAAAATCCGATGTCAAAAGGAGGAGAATGATGTGATTCTCTTGCCAATGACATGTAATAAGGACTCGAAAAATTATTGGTATCATATTGCAAACATAAACGGTAGGTGGATGCTAGAGTGTTTGGATATGTGTTGTAATTGCCAAAAGCACGACAAACTTTCACGATAACAAAAATTTAGTTTTGAAGCAAAGTAATTTTTATTTCAAAATCAATTCAAATTGCACGAAAAACATCTATATTATTTATCATAGAAAAAATATATGGAGTATCTTTTTCTACATTTGCGCTTAGTGATAAATTTAGAAATTTAAATGAATGGAATAAGATCATATTTGTGAGTTTGGAGGGGAAAGAAATTGAGGGTTTTGAATTTGTTTTTTAAATAATTTTTTTTAGCATTTTATGATGGAAGTTTCTTTAAATGAGGGTTGAATTTGAAGGAGGGGTGATGTAATACTCTAAAAGCCCAATTTTTTATTTATAAAAGAATAACCAATTATTTTTTCAAAAGGCTTTACATATACTCGTCATATCATACTCATTCAATCAACACAATTAGCACATGCAATGAAACTCAACAAATAAGACATACCTCATATTATCTCTTCAAAAATAAAGTGCTTGACTAAATTAAATAATTCAAAACATTAATTTAAACATTAACAAATGCCTCGTTCCCATAATTACAAATTTGAACAACCGAAACTAAAACAACGTAGAGCGATAATTAAACGAAGAAAGCCTTAATGCTATCTTCCAACTCACATCAACTAGTTCTCCTCTTGGATATATGCACCACAACATATATAACACCATATAATCGAAAAAAAGGGGTGAAAATACTCTCAAATACATTAGCGGTGTAAAACATAGTAAGGGTAGTATATTCACAAAAATCAACAAACACATCTAGCATATTCATAACAACTAAATAATTCACAATGCTTTTATGTATGAAATTTGACCGACACCCTCGACTAAATGCATATGATACCATTTTATAGATATCATAGTTATGTTACTGATATTCATCCACTCATTGTGGTTCCTCTTCGAACTCACACTCATCACTGATCCCCACTTCTAAATCAACGACTTGTCACTTACTCATCACTGGTCCCATCTTCTGAACCAACGACTGATCACTTACTCATCATTGATCCCCTCTTATGAACCAGTGACTCATCACTTCTCAACATAATATAAGATGTATGACATAAAGATGCAACAACGCTATTAATTCCACTTCGAACCGTACACAACAACATATAAGGCAATCACAGCAGTTTCCACTCTGAACTACATGTCTCAATATCAACAACATATAACTATATTCATTAGAATATAATTATACCAACAGTTCACAACTCATACAAATAAATATAATTTATAACATATAATTATGTAAAACTTTTCAAATATTATTAAATTCATCATAATATTTCATGTCAACATAAAACTTAAGGTTATATAATTTGTTATAAATAATCATCTCAACATCAACACCAACATCCCTCCTCATGGGAGATGGGTAGGAATAAGTCAGACCAACTAACAGGGGCCTACAACCTAGCCTACCCAGGCTCAAATCAAGCAAGACATTTTTTTAATAGAAAATGCCTAAGCTTTTTTATAAGCCTATTTAGCTAAAATGGCTAGGCCTTATGCCATCAAAAAGCCTTTTAAGCCTATCAGGCCGACCTATTTAAATAAGGGGACTCCTTATTCCACCTCATGCCCAAAATAAAGACCCTTTGCAATTCTGAAATTGCCCCTCGAATACCGGAAATGCATTTCTGATTCGCACCATATATGTTATAAAAATATGTCAAATGTGGTTTCACCCTTCAAAATGTAAAAATAAAACTGGAGATATACTTCTGGTTCTGTACCGGTATTATACATCCGGTTTCAAATCTGATTAAGGGATAGAATTAGTATGGTTCATGTTTACCTCCAACTACTATAAATAACCTCGCTTGTCATATTGTTTCATACCACAACACCAAAAACTAGAAATAAATATCAAAATGAACATCAAATGGAATGTTGGAGTTGTCCACTTTATCGGTGCTACACCACCACGCGAATTTAAGGTCACCAAGAACACCTCAATTGAAGACGGGCATGAAATATTGCAGGAACTTGTACCTTATTGTTCGCAGTGATTTCTGGCGAAACAACCGCTAGTCTTCCAAACAAATTTGATATGTATGGTTACTTGCAGGATTGACTAGATTGATCCTAGGACATTGTCTTAACGTTAATTGTAACTGTGATCGGTGGATCTGGAACTGACTGTTTAACGCTGGTTCGCGAAATGTCGCGGAAGCCAGAGTCGCCACCGTCTTTTATTTTCTCCAAATGGAAAGGACAAAAGCACAGAAAAATTCCTTAAAGAGATTGCTCTCGGTTCGGGAGGTAGATTATAGAAAGGGAAGGTATTAGCACCCTTTCTATCCATGGTTATCCATGGGCTCTTAGATACTTGCTCATTTGTGTTTTCAAAAATGGTTTGTTTGCTTTTCAATTGTGGGTTTTAAAAAGTTTCTTTGAAAATTCCAGTTTGACTCTTGTATCGGTCCTCAAGAGTGTTTGAAAAATTGCTTTCGAAAGCTTTTTGAAAAGGTGTCGGTGTGAAAAGTATTTTTGATTTGTTTTGAAATTTAGAGCAAATATCTAGAGTCGTCTACCTACCCTAAGGAATTCGTCTGTGTAAATGTCCTTTAAAGTAGTGCCATCCCACCATTGAGAGGTAGGTAGCACCACCGTTGGAGGTGTTCGGGTCAATTCGAGGTTCGGGACATGGTGATCACCGGAGCAATAGGAAGACACCTTAGAAGCTACCCTCATGCCAGGTTCCCGGATCATGAGGACTTACTAAGACATCCTCTACTCGACGATCACCTTTCGAGGCAAGGCAACAGTGAGGCGTACCCTAGGGGTGGTGTGTGATTTGTGTGTCATGTTCATTTGCATTTATCTTGTTCATGTTAAAGTGATCTACGCTTTGTTTTTATTTTAACATTCATTCTTGCATGCAACCTATTAGCAGTTAAAAAGTTGCGAGAAATATAAAGTTCCTAAACTATTACAAAGGCGCGGGTCCACATCGCCAAAATTTCCAGGACCCGATTTGACAGAAAAATAAATAATTAAAGTAAAACGCGAAAGATAAATATTTACATGGCTTTGGGAGAGTTACATTGATATTTACAAGAAAATAAAATAAAATGCGCGAATTGAATCGAAAGTGGAAACGAGGGCGTTGGACCCTTTTTAATGGAATTAAATTAAACGATTAAATTAATTGAATTAAAAGAAAAGGAAATTGTTTTTTTGAGATTTTTTGTATTTATGGTTTTAATGATTGAAATTAAAATGCTAACCCTAATTCTAATTGTTTTTAGTTTATTAAGAAAGTATTAAAGTTAAACCTAAATTAACCTAATTATTTACATGAAATTTTGATTTATAAAAATAAATAATATTTTAATAATTAATTATTGTGAAAGAAAAGAAAAAGGATAAAAATTAATTAAGACTCTAATTCTACCAATTTTAAGTTTATTGAAAAGAATATTAAAATTAAACCTAGATTTAAGACTAATTAATTAATAAGACCTTTTTTTACAAAAAAAGAATTAAATAAAATAAGTTTTTATTTTTGTCTTTCTGATTTTTTTATTATTTTTTATGTTTTAGAAATTATCTTTTGTGAATTTATTAAAATAGTTAAAACAAAATAAAAAAAGGAATTAAAATAGAAGAGAAACTTAGAAAGAAATACACAAACAGGGGGGGTCATCTGGCCCAGTTAGAGGTGTGTTTAGAGGAACTTTGGCCCATTTAGACAAAGTCATCTTTGACTTTCCTGATCATATGCTTATGGTTGACCGAGCGTGCGTGGTAGATCTCACATGGTGGCCCTCAGATTGATACTGCTGGGCGCGTGGCAATACCAAGGCGTTGGGTGTAGGGTGTTCCTTTGGATCAAAGCTGCATGCAAACACGTTGAACAAAATAATATTGAATAAATGGGGGACCTGGGAATCGAATCCAGGTCCCAAAGCTTTATGAGACAAAGCCTTTACCATTCGTACCAAGCGCGCGTTCTGAATATACAATGACAAATAAATAAAATAAAAGAAACTGGGTTAATGGCCTAAAAAATAGAAAAACGCGCGCTGTAGTTCAAATGGCCCAATCATCATTCACCACCTGGCCTTATTCTTCCCTGTTCCCTGAAACAAAAGGATTAGCAACGGTTTTTAAACCGTCTCCAAAACCTGCCATAATTCAAAATAGCGATTAGGAATCCTTGCATGAGAAATTAGGCACGACATATGGAATTGATTGGCATGAAGCTTCTGAATCTGATGGCATGGGTCTTGAGTCTTAATTTTTCCTTGAATGTAAAGCCCCAATTTTCCAAGTCTGAAACCCTAAGGTGCTTCAATGGCAATTCTTCATATAATGCGTAAAAACTCAATTCAATCACATGGTTAGTTTCAGAATGCATCAATTAGTATGAATCAGTAAAGAAAATGCAATGAGAATGCCTCAAAATCGAAACACGAACATGCCTTTTATATGAGAAATTCTGAGTTCGATATACCTATTCTGGGTGTTATGCGCGTGGAAAACTGTTCAGTTAGCTTCAACAATGTCTCAGCAACCTAATGGAATCAATCTTTTCCTCTGAATCGTTCTCTAAGGCCAATTTCAGTTTTTGACTTTTCTTGATAAAAACTCAATCTTGATTCCTGTATTTCTGTGCAGCTTTTTTGGTTCTCAGTATTAGGGTTAGGTTTGCCTTTGTATATAGAACGAATTTGCTCAATAATCCAAGCCCATAGCCTTGCTTTTAATGGTTTTCAAGATTTGATTTTTTAGGATCTTTTTCAATATTTCTTCATGAAGAACTCTCTCAATTTGCACCAATTCTTTCCACTTTTGATAGGCACGAAATCCTTAGTGAATCATGAGTAATAGTCTTGCATAAAAAGATTTGAAAACCTAGTTTTGATATT